AAAAAAAAAAAAAAAAAAAAAAAAAAAAAAAAAGAATGCTGTTTACTTTTAAAAGGTTTCTGGCTTCTGAAACTTTAATGTTTTTACATTTTATTTTCCTACTAATTTTGCCCTTCTCTAGGGCTTGACCCAAAGCCCACTGAAGTCAAACAGAAGAATCCCATTGACTTCAAGGGCAACTGGAATCAGGATCCAACTGGGGGAAAAAATCATTTCTCCCCCAAATTATATTTCTAAATTGACAAGTTAATGTATCTGTGCACTGGCATCAGTGTCAACTATAATATGAGTAACTCTGAAAACCGCATTTGTTATTAACGGCTTGCTTTGGAATGGACAGAGAATATAATACTTTTGTAGATTTTTACAATCCTATATGAACCTCTGCAAACAAACAAGTAGATCAATTTTTTTATTCTTATTTTAAAATAGGAGCGTTCCTTTTACTCAATTGAATTTTTAAGTAAATGACATCTTAAAATGATTAAATAGGTTACACATTTCTTACGTTAAACCATACTGCAGACTCCTCAAAAAAACCAAACAGGTGTGTAAAGGGAGAACGTGAGTGCCAGGTTGAGAAGATGCACTTACTTGAAACTTCCTCTCAAATAATTTTTCTCATTAAAATGGATTATACTAGTAAGGGTCAGGAATTCATTTTCTTTCTTTGGATCACTGAACCAGCACCATTGTAAAATTGTGAAAGTTTCCTGGTGTAGAAATAATTTGTAATGACCTACAAACTAAGCACCTCTGCAACAGGCATTCCTATGGTACATGATTGCAAGTTATTGACTACTATGATCTTTCAGAGTTAAAAGCATAATCTTCTACCCTTTGAAAGCTGGAGTTTGTAGTGAGAAGTTACCTGCTTCAAGAAGGAAGCTGCTAAAATCAAATTGGAACTGAAAAATGTAATTTTAAGATCCAATTTCTCTATCTGCCAGTGACAGACATTTGAATGCTTTTTTAGCCCTGGAAAGTCATTATGTCCAGTCCTGGAGGAGTTTGATAATGAACCTTAAAAACTTTGAATTCAGTGTCTGGCTTATGTTCTTCATCAGAGATTTTTTGTTTTACACAAACACTTTTTCAACAAAGACGATACCTTGGAACCCTTTAGTCCTCCCAACTGATCTTTGTCATTCAGCCCCCAAACAAAAACTTTGGTTCTTATGGTAGCTGCTGATTCCAGCCCTGCCATCTTCTTCCTAACAAGACTGGGTACATTGAGAAAAATAGAAAAATGTCAGTTCCACAGCCTATATACTGTGACATTTGATAAACCTTGACTTGTGTTTTATATTTTAACAATCTATTTTACATTTTAAAATGTAAATATCCTCTCTTTGTGAAATTAAACTCAGCGTAGCTTCACAGTTGTGATTTTCTGTGACCACGTTAACTTTTTACCTGTTATTAAAACATTTCTTTTTATAGTTTGCACAGTGAAAGTCCTTTAAAAGCACAAGAGACCCACAGAACTGCAGGATTCTACATTGTATACTGGACATATCATACAGGTAAAGCCAATACTCATAAGTAGGAGTTTTAGCTGTTTTTAACAAATCAAAGCATTTTTCAGCATGAGGCGGCAAAATAAAAAATGATGAAACAATTGTTATCACTGTATATACACAGGAAAGACAAAAGGTATACATCAACTAATGTCTTAACTATAAAACTCGTTGAAACTAGAGCCTGGCTGTTTTTTTTTCTCTAGTACACAATAAAATAATTCAGTCGTTTGAGTTGCACAGCCAGTGCTGATATTCTTCTAGTTTAAGGTTAAGATAGCAAGTTTATTTTTTCTTCCAGTTCCCTACCTCCCAGTGTTGGCTTTATCATCATCCTCTTCCTCATTATCGGAAGCAAGGAAAGGGACTGCAGCCAAATCTTCATCCTCTGCCCGGATACGCCCCAGTATGCTGAGACCATGTATTTTGCAATCTATTCCAGAGCTTCTGCACTGCTTTATAGCAATCTCAATATACCTGTGATACTGAAGAAGAAAGATGTAATTGCAATCTTTTGGGTCTATAAGTTTATGGAACATGGAGGATTTAAGATTTTTGCATTGCTGAGTTCCGTCTGTTTTAGAAGTTGATTCTGTAAGATAAATCAAAATCCTACTTTTCTGCCCTATTTAGGTATCAATTTAACTGATATGGATGTTCTCAGCAGACTGGAAGTTTGGGAATTTCTGGGAATGATGATCTCATCTCCAATCTACCACTAAGCTTGTGCCCTTCTTACAGTAACTGGCCACAGTCCAGATTTGTCTCCCTAGGCTGAGGAATAGTCACTCCACTTCTGCCACCCAGCAGATGAGAACTTCCAACCAAACCGTTGAAAAAAAAAAAACCCTGGTACACGTATTGTTTGCTTGGTTCTGAGGCATTTGCTTTTAAACTGAAAACCTACAATTTCACGGGTGTTTACTCGTAAGACTAATAATTGTACACATGTACAGTGATTATGCAAAAGCCAATGACGTGGTTACTTATAAGCACCAACATATTGGGAAAACAAAAAATCAAATATAATAATGTAATAACCAAAGGTACACATGGACCCTTCTTACAGCAAGATACATTTCCAGTTTGACCATCTGAGAGCTTCTCCTCAAACAGTCTTCACTTACCTCTATACAATCACTAAGAAGAGGCACTGTGGTGTCCGCAGGGTTAATGTTGATTGTCTTTAGCTCTATAAGGTTATTTAAAGAATTCCCACCTGTAGAACATTGAAATAAACTGATTTTAAAGGCCATGTACCAACAACACACTTAAATACCACTCCTATCTGAACACTAAGTTAAATAATCAATATAGGAGGAGAAGTGTGTTTAAAAAACTCCTACAGTTGAGTACAGTTAAATTTCACGTACCTGAAACCACAACAAGAGAGGGCATGTAGCTGCTGTCTGCAGGATCAACTATCATCTTCAGTCTGTGGACAACTACATCAGGGAAAATCTCTAAACGAATCCAGTGCTAGAAAATAAGTGGTCACATATTCAATGAAAATCCCCTTGACCACAAAATAAAAATAGTTATCTTACTGTTATTTATCATCTATATTGCCAGTCCTTTACTATAATTCACAAGAATTACAAACAATTGAGAATAATAAATCTTAGCAAACTTAAAAATCAGTATATTTAGAGGGGAACATACATCTAAATATACTTTAGACAAACTGTATTTGTAACATTGAGATGACAGGTAGTGCATAAAAAAAAACGTTACAAGATGCACTACAAGCCTTTTTAAAAAAAAAAAAAACTGTGTGCCAGAGTTGGCATAGCATTCAGAAGTATGGCTCAAGCTTGCCTTTCCTTGTGAGCCAGAAGACTGCCAACATTGTTCACTGCCATCAATCAAACGTGAAGCCTGATTCACAGAAGACGACACATTCAAATTCTTAACAATTCGTGACCAGTCATCCAGTAGCATTCCTCGCTGACTGCTATGATGTCTCTTCAGCTGTTTTCCAGAACGCCCACAAAATACGGGAGACTGACCTATTTAATTCAAAAAGTTATACTATAAACCATGTATTGTTAAAGAAAATTACATTTCATAACAAAAAAAATAAAATAAAATACTATGACAAGAGCAAACATTCAAATCAGACTTCAAAATAAATACATAGTTATCAGATAGACTATTTAGCCCAAAACGTATTTGGAAGTGAAGCATGAGGATTTGGTCATGTTATTGCCATTAAAAGGACAACTTGAAGTGTAGTTCTTTTAAAAATGAATTAAAAATAGTTTCAAGCACTACACATATCCATGAGTCCTCATGCCCATTTTTGTGGTAGTCACATTTTCTTTTCTTTTTTCCCCCCCAATCTTCTCTGGTGCTGTATGTATGTTGTATGTCTGACTGTCACAAGGTGAACCCAAGTACAGGCCACTGAGGTGCAAACTTCACCAATGGAAGAAAGGATCTGAGAATCCCCTTCAAAATTCTGGTTGTTGTAGGGTGCATGAAGATTGTACAGTTATCCACTGGAGTATCAAAAGCACTGTCTGCTGCTAAATGAACTCACAGGGAACTGAACAAAAACCCAAAGACTTATGGGTAAGTAGATACTCTAAGATAGCAATAATTCCAGTGGAGTCCAGAGACAAATTGCTTTTTGATGAGTCCAAGCAGAGAAACGCTTCCATTTAGGTGAGTAACAGATTCTTGTAGACTTCTACTTTGGTTAAGGATGAATTGCACCCTCCCGGAACACAAGCCTTCTATCTCCAATACCCATCCAAACACCAGGCTCTGAACTGCAGCTGTCCTGGACTGGAGTGTGTGGCCTTGCCCCTGTGTTGCATTAGAAGATCTGGCAACATGGGTATGTTCTTGGACGGTCACACTGAGAGCTTCAACAGATCCACAAATCAGAACTGTCTTGGCCAGCTAGGTGCAATCACAGCGACTCCAGCTCTGTCTCGGAGGAACTTCTGTACAACCAAAGGAATTGGAGAGAGGCACGCCCCAAGCGACTCTTCCATAACATCAGAAGGGTATCTCCCAACGAGCCTTTGCCCAGGGCTGCTGTGGATCAGTACTGACAAAGTTTTCTGTTCACCTGTGAGGCAAGAAGGTCCCAGGCTGGCATTCCCCACTGAGCGAAGACATTGTTGAGAACCAACACCGTGAATAATGCATTTGTGACTTGGGTAAAAGTGTCTGCTCAGGTAGATTTTGCATCCCTGGTAAGTATGCAGCTGATAGGATTATGCGATGTTTGATCTACCAATCCCAGAGGACGACTGCCTCTATGCCAAAGGTGGGCAAACTACAGCCCTCAGGCCACATCCAGCCCGCAGGACCGTCCTGCCCGGCCCCTGAGCTTCCGGCCGGGGAGGCTAGCCCCGGGCCCCTCCCCTAGTGTCACCCCTCCCCTGCAGCCTCAGCTCGCCGCTCTGCCAGCATTCTGGACAGCGAGCGCCTGCCGGGCAGCATGGCGGCGTGGCTGGCTCCGGCCGGATAGCGCAACTGCCAGTCCTGCCACTCTGAGCGGCATGGTAAGGGGGCAGGGAGTGGGGGGGTTGATGAGGGGCAGGAGGTCCAGGGGGGCAGTCAGGGGACAGGGAGCAGTTGGATGGGGCAGACGTTCTGGGGGGAGGGTGCAGTCAGGGGATGGGGAACGGGGGGGTTGGATAGGTGTAGGAGTCCCGGGGGCCCTGTCAGGGGGCGGGGGTCTGGATAGAGGTTGGGGCAGTCAGGAGACAGGGACCAGGGGAGGTTGGATAAGGGGTGGGATCCGGGGGGGGGCAGTCAGGGGATAAGGAGCGGGTGGGGGGGTTGAATGGGTCAGGAGTTCTGAGGGGGGGCAGTCAGAGGGCAAGAAGTTGGAGGAGGCAGATAGGGGGCAGGGGCTAGGCTGTTTGGGGCGGCACAGCCTTCCCTACCCAGTCCTCCATACAGTTTTGCAACCCCGATGTGGCCCTCGGGACAAAAAGTTTGCCCACCCCTCCTCTATGCACACAAAAAGAGAGATCTTGTTCTCCCTTACTTGTTTATATTAATCACTATTGCCATATTGTCCACATTATCCGAACATGTTTGGACTGGATGAGTGGGAGGAAGGCACTGCAGGCCCCACACACTGCCCTGCGTTCTAGTAAGCTGATGTGTAGTCTGGACCCCCAGAATCCAGACACCTTGTGACATATGATTGCCCATGCGCACACCACAACCCAGTGGAAGGCACCAGTAACGATGGTTGCGTCAGTTGCTGGTGTGAGAAAAGAAAGGCCTTACGTCAGTCTCTCTCAACTGGTTCCCCATAGGAGAACTAGTTCAGGAAAGTCAGATCACTCTGGGGACCTTGTCTTTTAATGAGCCACCTGTCCTTTCGTGTGCATTGGACATTAGTGATTATCAGCAGAGAATCTGCTTTAGCCACCTCCACATCCACACTAGGCCTGGAAATGTGAAGGAGGGAAAAATCATATGTCATTAAACATTAAGGTCTGGCTGATCTGAGAATCTTCAACACTTCAGAAATGGGTGGGAGGAAGGAGAAAGGCAAAGTCAAACGGTACAAGATCAGAGAAACTGGGGGTAGGGGGCAGAAGAAAAATCTAAAGAAAAGAACTCATTGTAGATCGTAATTAATCAGGAACAGAGGAGCTCAGAACTGCTCTGGGTGCCTATTCCTGCTTCAGAAGCAAAATATTTTACTGGATTACCAGCAGATTGGTCACTGGGAGGGGTGTCCTTATTTCTCAGACTTCTGAATAGTCTCCAGGCCATGCAGAGGAATAACCTCCACCCATTTTCAAGGTCACAATGTTGTTCTAGAGCAATTAAGGGCTGAGCTGGCATGCTCCTTTTGAAGAGGAACTGCAAAAAACCTAGGTGCACTATCTTCATCTGATGGCATGAAGGAGCTATAAATGTGTTTGGATTGGCAGTGGAGGGCAGTAAGATAAAGTCATCATTTCATTTTATTCCCACTCTTGTTGCAAACTCAATTCTGACTAACAGGGAGTAACTGTCACTTAACACTACTTTAAATATCATTTAGCACACAAATATGAGCCATTTAAAAATTTTTACTCAAGAGCCTATCAAAATTAATCATGCAGAATTACCCTCAGAAAAGCTTAAAGGGGCATTCTGATGCATTCAGTATTGAACTGCAACATAAGGTCCTAATTTGTACTAAACAATTCATTTCCTACTAAGCTAGTTACAATGTTAAACTGCTTAATCTAATAAAATTAAGCCTAAAAACATGATTTCAAGAGGTATTTAATGCATTTTAAATTAATGTCAGCAATTTCCAGTTTTGAAATATACCTGGTTCATTTATTCTGCCGAAAGTATGCCGGGTGTTATGCTTTCTGGTTTTGAAACAGGTTTCACAAAAGTCAAAGTCATCACAGTTTCTACATTTGAACCTAGGCCCATTGATAGGAAACATCTGACAGCCATCACACCTGATTTTAACAAAGAGACAATTAATATGGTCGATCTGAAAAAATTATAAGATATAATATATTGTTACACAGATTCTCATGGCACAGAATTTATTGTAACAGCATTCATAAATGAAGAGGTTTCTTTATTCCTTCCCTCCACAGTCCCTTCAGCTTGTGGACAAAACTGCACACAGTTTTTTATTATACTTATCTAAGAAATTTCAATTATGATAGTAAAGTTATATGCCAAGTGGTTCAAGAAATGATAAAAATGAAAACTAACTTACGTGACCCCTGGATGAATGCTGGGGACCAATTCCATTTCTGACAATAAACCAGTCCAGTGAGACTGCTGAGGGAAGTCTACGATGACATCTTTTCCATTGGCACTAAAAGCTGTGACAAAACATGCAGAGACAGATAATTTTGTGAAAATATCTAAAAAATTAATTAGAAATGGCTACAGTCTACTAGCCAAAATTGCTTTTTATAAGCGATTCCTTCTAGGAGGTTAGGATTTATTTCAGAATGCATCTTTATTCCAATGGAATCATCTGTCTAGTCAAAGTAATCAAAAAATAAAAACCATTTAAATGTTTTGCCAGCTTTTACTTATTTAACATGTGCACTGTGGCCTAGCTTTGTTCCTTCACGGCATTATTTGAAACAATATTTGCATTACCTATTTTTCCTAATGCACACATTAACTTGCACAGTTTAGAAATTTTATGAGCTTCTCAAAGAATATCAGGAAAGAAACAATACAACTATGCGTGGAAAGATTAAATTTATATCAATAAATGTCAATTTCACTGTACACATACAAACCAGCAAAAAAAATTATTTCCGTCAATCAAAATATACTTGATAGGCAAAGAAAGAAAAATACTGCTTGAGAATTTAAGAGTTAGATTTAAGGATATTTACTTTGTATATTTTGACATGATGTTGACAATTTGTGTTTTAATTGTTATAAAACTAACATTTTAAATTTCAGAATCTACTCTCATTAAATATTTGTCTGACCCTCCCAAAATTTCCCACAACTGAAAACTTGATAAAAATAGAAAAAAAATGCTTAAATTTATAAACTTTGCCACAACTGTTTGGTAGGCAACAAAGATTAAGCCTGGCAAATGGTGTCGTGTATGCATGAGGCCAAGTGGCCGAGGAGGGAAAGAGAAATTCTGATTGATGTTCCGGGTCTGAAAGTGACTTGATGTATCAGAGCACTTGGGGCCTGAAACCTCTTGCTGTGCTTGAGTCCAACGTCTCGTGGATGTCAATGTGAATTTTTCATGATTGATCCAGACACCTGCAGAAGGCTGAGCAGAACACTGGTTACCCACTGGACTTTCTCATAGGAATTGCCTGTCAGATGCCAGTTGTTCCACACCCTCATGAATTCTGGCGGGGAAAAGAGCAGCAGATGCTGCAATTGGCAGAAATATGAGCCTCACCCAGGCAATAAAGGCAACATTGATATTCATTATTCACCAAAAAGGAGTGAGGGCAGTTTTTGAATCTCAGGACCCTGGGCATAATTCAAGACTTCTCAGGGGAAAAAGTCCCCAGGTGGGGAAGAAAATGTGGCAAAGCACTATCTAACTATACTATGTTAGACTATACTATAAAGACTACTAAAACTACAAAAAAACTAACTATATACAATATCTTACAGCAATGACACAGTATAAAAAGGGAGCCAAAGACACCAAAGATTCTGACTCAACCCATAAAGCAATAAGAAAGAACTGGAGATGCATTGGACTGCACCACCTTTTATGCCCTCGGTTTAGAGCACAAGGAGAGCTACGTTGCATGTGCAAGCCAACAGATGCTGGTTGCAAAAAATTCTGGACTCAGGCACATGGTGCACATGTGTATCCCTGTGGAATACACACAGGGACCATCACTCAAAGAACTCTGAAGCAGATGAAGAAACATATAGGAAAAGGTGTATAGTTGTGTTTATTATTTAGTCTAGATCTGTGTATTGCTAATGAGGCTAAGTAAAGAATAATGGGGTTTAGAATCCTGTGCAAAATCTACCTGTGTATGTGTCTGTTGGCTTTCATTGTCACATGCCCATGAAGAATTAAATTGTAAACCCTGAGCACCCACATGACATGAGTTCTGGCTGTGTGTTCTAAAGCTCTGAGGAGTCAGCACAGGTCCCAAGGGCTAGGTAGCTGGACTACAGGATCTCGTTTCTTAGAAGAGGTGCTAGACAAAGGATCTGCACCTTGAGAGAGTGTGCTTTCAGACCCCAGCCAGGGGCAGTGCCTTGACTCTGTTCAGGCTCAAGAGGCTTCAAGAGCGCACAGGTCCTACTGAGGTGGTCTCCAAACACAACAGTCTAGTGAGTGTCCATAGCTGGGGAAGCTCTACTAGAGCTGGGTGTGAGACACCACCACACACCAGTTCTAACGTGTAAAAGTACCTTTGAGAAAGCAGATCAAAGTATTAACAAAAAGGGGACAGAAGAGCATTTGTGTTTCCAGCTCACACTGGGCAACAACAAAAAAATATAGTCTCTTTGATCATTATACAGTCTTCCGCAGGGCAACATCAGCTGTTGCTGTGCCAAAAGTTTCTCTTCCTTTCATTTTATAAAGCAAGAATAATATCCATATAGTTTAAAATGTGTAATTTTTTTTTTCATTTTTGGAAGTCTACATTACCTTTTACAACCCCCACGCTCCTGTGAGTAACAGATCCCCATTTGTATTTGGGTGTAGTAACTGAGGTTTTCACATGCACTTTGTCACCAATCTTAATGTGAGAAGGAGAACTCTGTGGTGGGAATCCTAGAAGTTTAAAAAATAAGCACATGTTATTTTTTAAGCTTGCATTCTCCTTTGACATACTGTACAGATACTTACAAGACCAGTGGTCCTCAAACTGTGGGACGCACCCTCCAAATGTTCATGGGGGAGGTGGCTGAAATACGGCGGGGCCAAGGCCAGCCCCCACGGGGATCGGGGAAGGAGTGCCACACAGCCCTGCTCTGCTGCCAGACCAGCTCAGACCCCAGCCACAGTTCCATATCACCCCCGGCCCAGCTTCGTCCCCAGCGACAACTCCACTCCAACCCCAGCGAAAACCCAGCTCCGGACCCAGCCATAGCTCCACTCCCACGCCCTGCTCTGCCCCCAGGCCAGTGCTGCCTCTAGCTTCAGCTCCTTCCCCATACCCAGTTCTGCTCCTCACTCCACCTTCAGCCCAAGCTGCTTTGCTGAGCCAACTGTGCAGTAATGGAGTAAGGGCACGGACAGATTCCACTGCTGGTAAGAGGAGGCGCAACAGGAAAAGTTTGGGCACCCCTGTACTAAACAGCAGTTAATGAATATTCAACTCACCTACAAGCTCAACGTGGATATATCTGACCCAGTAAGTGCCACCCTTTTGTTGCCAATCACATTGCACATTGAGGTCATGTAGTCCATCTCGATCCAATTTAATAACTTTACCTACATCTCCTTCACAAACTTCCTCATAGGTCCTGCAGCATCTAACCATCATCCCCACCTAGGCAAAACAAGATAATAAAATCCCATAAAGCCTGCAGTTAAAGGAGCGCTTAGGGGAAAGTAACATTCCACACAGCTTTAACCACCATGCTTACCTGAATGTTCTCTCGCACATACACAGCATAATCATCATTACTTAAGAAATCAGCTCGTTTCTTGTAAGTTTGGCTCTCTGTAACAACAGCACCACTAGACTGTAAAAGAACACACACAACAAAGAGTGAAGTTTTCAAAGTGTGTAGTTGCTTTCAGTGGAGAGAAATAAGCACATTGCAGGGATTGTGAAGATAAAGAACAAGGAAACAGGATAACTCTGTGATTCAACTCACTAAAGAGCTAGCATTTATGGTCTGCTGCACTTGAGACTATGGCTTAGTACCCAGAATCACTGGGCAAGCTGAGTAATAGCAAGTTTCCAGGCCTCCTGAAGCAAGCCAAAGAGTTACTATTATAAAAACTGCTCAAAAAACGAAAGTGGGGGGAGGGAAACAGCAAACAAATCTTTTTAATTTAAGCCACCTACTCAACCTTGATATATCTACATTTTTTTCTCCATACGTTTTTCCTGTGAAGAAATGGTGGGTGAAATTTTGGTGACATTGTTTATTTGTTTTACTCTTTGAGATTATAAATATGCTTAGTATTGTAAACACTGTAATGTGCGGTTAACAGAACCAAAGTTAACAAATGGGGTCACACTACTCTTCTCAGGGAATTCTCTCTTTCAAGATCCGAAGGTGTCATCTAAAGAAAATATGGCAGGAAAGACTTTCATTTTCAGTGACAATTCAAGACAAGTTATTGTTGTTTCAGCACAAAGAGTAAATGTTCTAAATGGCACATTAAAGGCAAATGTATAGAATTATAAACTTGCTCAGGTTATCAATTTGGATAATTTACCACTAAATTCAGGGCTTATCTTCTTCCCAGATAGTATGCATCCTTTCCTATTGTGATTATGAAATCAATCACAAGCCAGTACATCTGAGACTCGGGAATCTGAGGAAACCAAGAATACTGCAGATATTCCTCTTGACTGCTATTTACTGCTATAACTTCTGATACACAGATTTAGGTTTCCTGAAAGCATACAGAAAAATAGTGCAATTCATAGTCAGAACTGCGATGGGTGACACTGTTAGTTTGATAGGCCACTTTATGGTCTTTGCCTTTGAAAGCATAGTTTTTATAAACAAAAAAATTAAGTGATTTCACTTGTGGCTTTCAGTGCCATACAAGTCATGCTTTGAGTAGCCAAAGTATCATACTTTTATTTTTCAAATCACTGGGGAAGGAGAAGGAGAGACACTTTAAAAATGTCTAAATTTCAAATTCAGTCAAGGTTGATGTAGTTCCCAAAATAGGCTAAACTGAATGTTTGCAATCATTCCTGAAGCCTGAACTATCCGACACACTGGTGACACTGAAAAGCTCGTTAATGCACTAGCAAAGTGTGTTGTCTACTGTAAAAATTCACAGGTGTAATTTCCTATAAGAAATATATGACCAGTAATTATGGTCTACAGTTCAGTATTGAAGAAAAAAGCCAAGTGAAATGCTATAGATGCAGGTCTTTCAAAACTTAAAACTGTTGATGAACAGATTTGATGGGGGTAGCATGACACCCTTACGCTATCCACATTTGTAAGTAAAGGATATAATTACACATCTTGAAATCTATGTAGCATATTTTTAAATCAATTTTTGAATGACTGTAAATACTAACGACAGGACAAGCAGCCTCAGCTTCTTCCACATCTTCTACCATCTCCTCATCTGAATATTCATCAGACACAGTATCAGCATCTGAGAGATCAGTAATCTGGACATCAGGGTGATCCAACAGCCAACCAACCAAGGCTTCCACTCCTAGCAGAGAAAACAATGAGCCATCCAAATTAATATGGGCTTCTTTGGTATGTCTCACAGAGGTTTAAATTCTCCGTACTAGTATCATTTTAGTCTGTTAATTTCATGGTAATTATGTAAAATACCTGGTAATCCAGAAGCACTTCCAGAGGTCCCTGAGAGCGACTTCAGTGCAAATTCAATATTTTTCCTAGGAAATCCCATTTCCATAAGCTGAACTACAATAGGGAGGGGTGGAATGGGAGATTGCTTGCGTTTCTTCACTTTTGCAGGTCGGATATGCTGCACTGTGATGGGTGTTGTGGCCTCACTGGAGCTACAGTCTTCAAACAGTGGAGTGGAAGGATGAGTGGACTCCACAGCTAGATACTGGCACACTGCCAAAGCAGCAGCCTAAATGAAGACAAGTAAACACACACTGAAGTCTATGTGGAACTAGAAATCTACATGTACTGTACACCAGTAAATGTTCAGCTTCATTTACAGAATCTTTGAAAAATGAGAAGAGTAGAAAATAATAGTCATCAATAGGAATTTGAATTAGAGTGCTCAGTAGAAAGTTTTAAATGAGGAAAAAACACGGATTGTACCTCAAGCTCTTGTTTGTCAAATATTGCTTTCACAGGCGATGGCTGGGTAGCAGCTGTCAGAAGCTGCTGTAAGAGGATCATGGGAAGTTGAGGTCCTTCAGGAGACATATCTCCTATGTCAGGGGATGCAACTGCTCCATCCTCTGAAATAAACAAGTGAGTTTTAGTCAATAAAATTACAATTAATATAAGGTAAATTACGCTGAGTTAAAGTGCCTTGTGGATCAAATGTACAAAGGAATGATGTCCACCACATTCCATCTCAAATTTTGGTGTGCATTTAGAAGGAAGCATGTGCAGTACAGCACATTTCCTGAACACAAGCCTCAAAGGAGCTAAACTTCTAGTCAAACACTTACTTTACTACCATATCTAGAGCTAGTCTGGTAGAAGCCACTTGGCATAGTGGACATCCACTATTAAGCTTGAATTCTTATCTTACAAGACCTGCCATTATTACAAAAGGAAGTATACTACGCTCTTGGAAAACACTTGGTATAGTTCTTGAGTTACCTCTCCCTCTGACTGATGGGGAGAGCATGTTTGATAGGCTCTGGATGTAGGGTGACCAGACGTCCCGATTTTATCAGGACTGTCCCGATATTTACTTGTTTGTCCCGCGTCCCGACCAATGTTCAGTCGGGACGCGAATTGTCCCCGATATTTTGCCCTCCATGCTAGGCACATATTTTGCCCTCCGTGCCCTTCTGCCCCTCCCCGACTCCGCCCCCTCACTGCCCCATTGGATCCCTCCCCACCTTCCCCACCCTTACCCCGCCCTCTCACTGCCCCATTGGATCCCTCCCCAAGTCCCCGCCCTAGCCCCGCTCTTCCCCAAGCACACCGCATTCCTCCCCGTCACCCCTCCCTCCCAGGCTTGCACTAATCAGGTGTACTGCAGCGCAAGCCCTGGAGGGAGCGGGAAGAAGCAAGACGTGGCACCCAGCTCAGGTGAGGTGGAGCGAAGGCAAGCTGGTGCGGGGGGAGGCATGGCGTGGAGCTGCTGGTTGGTGCTCAGCCCCTACCAATTTTTTCTATGCTCCGGTCGGTTTTTTTTTGCTTTTGTTTTTTCCTCCACCGCTGGCTCTTGGGTTTGTTTGTTTTTTTTGCACCGCTGGCACCCGATATTTCACATCTCTTATCTGGTCACCCTATCTGGATGGAGCCCTCTCTCTCCCTAGCAAGAGGGAGAGTCATTAAAAGAATATTCTATGACCTCAGAGATCACCACTCCTCCAAGAGAGTCATTTTGACTGACTGGGTTTGGATTCTGTACTTTTGAAGGACATTCTCCCGTCGCTCCAGTAGTAGAAGCAAGCAATGAAATATATACTGACTCAACATTTGGTGCCCAAGACCAGTAATAGCTGATACGCTCTCAAACCAGAAAAGACTAGAAAGAAATATTAAATAAAATAGAGATGTCCCAGCATTCCATTTTCCCCATACTACTAATATAGCACTTGTTTCTAGCTCTGACGAGTTAGAGGATATCAAATTTTAAAATGACATCAATCTGATCATCTTGCCTTTTCCAACATTCAGTTGAGTTTCAACATGATTTTAGCAGATGCTAGCACAGGAGCCATAGAACCAGCAATCGTTACTTTATACAATCAGAGAAAACTTTAAAACCCTGCTTTCAGGAGGCATAAAGTATTAATCTTCATTTTTTTGTAACTACTGAACCATCAGTTGCTAAAAAAATCAGTTAAGCAAAGTGAAAGCAAGATGATAATTAGAATTTTGTGATAAAGCTGGTTACCTAATTTATTAATACCTGTTCATTTCTTATTGGTTACTGAATGTTAACATTTGTAAAACCTCAGCAGTTGCACAAAATACAGTAGAACCTCAGTTACAAATGCCTCAGGAATGGAGGTTGTTCATAACTCTGAACAAAATGTTATGGTTGTTCTTTTAAAAGTTTACAAGTGAACTTTGACTTAATATCACTGAGATTTTATTATGCAGAAGAAAAATGCTGCTTTTAACTATCTTAGTTTGAACTAAACAAGTTCTTACCTTGTCAAATCTTTTTTTTTTAAACTCCCCCCACTTTTTTTTTTTTATTTAGTTTACATTTAACACAGTACTGTACTGTATTTGCTGCTTCTTTTTTTGGTTATTGCTGCTGCCTATTTGCGTACCTCTGGTTCCAAATGAGGTGTGTGGTTGACCTGTCAGTTTGCAACTCTGGTGTTCGTAACTCTGAGATTCAACTGTATATGTAAGTTTAAAATTTTAGAGTGTATCTCTCCATTGTGTTCCATATCCTAGTGACTTAAGAAGGGGCATCTGGTGATGACTTGAGCAGTTCTCATCCACATGTTTAAGAGGAGCCGAATGAATTAAAGTGCAATAGACATTAGACTTCCTTTTCTCCACCATCCCCCAAGACCACTATTTTCTGCACTTAATTTCAACCCACAGCGTGTAGCTCCTCTTGAAGTAGAAAGAGGAACTGCTTAAGACATCAATCACCACTTTGAAGATGACAGAAGGAGCCATAACAAGAGGTACAAATGTGTTTTATTTAAATTTTGGGGTAGCATTGAGAAGCGTTTACAAGTTAGTATTCAAACAACAACAATATTAAAGAGTCATATTAAATATGTAAGAGTCATAAGTTAGGTGATCAACACTTTAGTGTCCAAAATCTATGCCTGCCTAATGAGGCATCTTTAAGAAACAAACTAGTAGTTTTTAAACTGCAATATGTGTTTTAACTGTGTATATTTCTTACTGATAAGATCTGATTTTTTTGGGGAGGGGGGAAGGGTTTTTATGTTGCTTTGAATGTTGTATCTAGAAACAGGATAACACTTTCAGGACCAGTAAATATTTTCAAAAACTATTTCTAAATTATCATCTCTGAGTCTTTGAAGCCAAAAGCCTGAGTTCTGTCCTCAGACCACAACATGCAAGGTACATACTCATCAGGTATACTTGCTGAATAACATCATCACACAACCCGTAACCACACATATTAGTTACATTTTAAACTAGAGAGGACATTGAAGATGACATTTTATTTTGAAGACTAATAATCAGCAAGAGGTTAAATATTGCAAAGCATGTGGCTGACAGGATAACAAATGCATCTTGTTACAATAAAAAGCTGTACCTGTGGGAATCGATCCAGCCTCTTGTACAGCTGGTTGAGATAAGATCTGCCTTAATTTATCCTGGTGAGATAGCAGAGCTCGACCTGCTTTCAATATGTACAGTTTTAACTGTTGGCATCTCAGCAGATCCAAATCCACTTGACCTATCAAAAACATTAAATGCCCATTAGCCAGAAAGCAATAGTATTCAAAGTAACATAAGCAAACATTTATTTTTACAATCTGATGATCCCATCACAAAAATACATTTTTAGTACTGACAGTCATGAATGGTAAGCTCAAACAAGATGAAAGGACTAAAATATAAAAAGTTCAAGTGCATCATTATAAGAAACCCACACTGGACCTACTCCAGATGTCAATACTAAGACAGTGCCTCCCAGCTGTCATGCAGTTGGTGGACTTCAGGTCTGTCTAGATGAACAGTTAGTGGGTGGCACTGTAGGGTGCTATTCTACAGCGTACTAACGTACTGTGAACCAACACTTTTTGTATAGGCGCCACAACCATGCACTGATGTACGGCCAATGTGCAGTAGGAAACTTTTAGTGCACAGTAGCGGGATCCACACACACAGCTGGTGAACGGCACGCTATCGTGTATTTACTCCACAGCTTGACATGCACTGAGTCACACACACAGTTTAAAATGCAACAGATTAGAGCAGACTAGATAGATATCAGGTGCATCAACTATTTTCAGACAATTCAATACACGACAAAGACTCCAGCCTCAAACTACATTTACATCATAGACAGCAGCCATTCTTCCAGCCAAGATATAAACTGGATTCCCTCTACAGCGCATCAATGCACTTCCTTGCATACTTGCATGTGTTTCTCCAACATACAACTCTTACTACCACTTACCCCAAAGTGGAGCATGTGCCTTCATATATCGCTTCCTACTCAATGCTGACCATGTAGAAAACAACTTTCCACAGAACTTCTGTACCTTCCTAATATCTATTTAATGTTTACAATATTTTCCAGAGAAGGGTAACGTATGACAAACAGGAAACTGTACCTGAAAGACCCTGGTTGGGAGACTTCATTCTGTGTTTTTCTACTTTACTTCCGGCCAAGTTTACCAGCTGAGCCCAGACAGACAACATGGGTTCAGTGAATGGCAAGTTGTTCACATTAAAAGCCACCACTGGAAGCTAAAAGAACCAAAAAGTTACGCATTTTTCAAATCTTTAGAAATGCATAAAAACGTATCCTCTTAAAATATAAACAATCCATAACTAGTGTTTATTTAATTACTCTTGAACTGGAACAACCGAAGAGGACTTCTGTCTCTAAAAACACTCAGAAAATAAAGGAGCTGCTAGGACTGTAGTCATATGTAGAGGGATCTGAGCATCACTGTCAGAAAGGAAAAGCAGATAACATGAGCATCAACTGCAACCCCTGCAACAGATTGGGGCTTTAAGTGCACGGGAGCCTTTTATGCTGTGACTTCACAAGGCAAAAAAGGGTGTGTTAACTCAAGGTAAAATCCTAATGAACACAAGGCAGTTTCTAGTTTTCACACCAATTAGCTGAGACTATGGTGTATCCTAGCCTTTAACTCAACTTGCTTATTAACATGAAAAAGAACAGTTACCTGTTCCGTAATTGGCATTCGAGATGTGTTGCTCCTCTCTATTCCACAGTCGGTGTGTGTGCTCGCCATGTGCACCGGGGCCGGAAGTTTTTCCCTTAGCAGTACCCGTACTGGGGGAGCACCGCTGCGACTCCTGGAGAGACGCCTGTATATCGTGCTATAGCGGGAGCTATGGGCTCCCCCCACCCTCGGTTCCTTCTTGCCGGACAACTCCGACAGAGGGGAAAAGGAGGGTGGGATGTGGAATAGACAGGAGCAACACATCTCGAAGAACGCCAGTTATGGAAAAGGTAACTCTCCTTTCTTCTTCGAGTGATTGTTCCTGCGTATTCCACAGTAGGTGATTCCAAGCAATATCTGTTGGAGGTGGGTAGGACCTCACGATGGTTCAGGACAAAGTACTGCCCTGCCGAACCCAGCGTCATCCCTAGACTGGGAGACAATCGCGTAATGCAAAGTAAATGTGTGAACTGAGGCCCACGTGGCCGCCCTACAAATGTCCTGGATGGGGACATTGGCAACGTAGGCAGCTGATGAGGCCTGAGCCCTCGTAGAGTGTGCCCTTACAATCGATGGTGGGGGAATCCCTGCCAAATCATAACACGTGCGTATGCACCAGGTGATCCAGCGGGAAAGCCGCTGGGTGGAAATGGGTTGCCCCTTAGCCCGTTCGGCCGAGGCAATAAAGAGTTGAGAGGACGTCCAGAACGGTTTAGTCCGATCCAGAAAAAAAGCCAACGTCCTACGCACATTGAGCATGTGGAGGCGGCATTCCTCACTAGAGGAGTGGGGCTTGGGACACAGCGTACGGGAATGAACGGTCAAGGCCCTTCAGGAAACGGGAGGTCATTGAGTGGGAGAAGACCGAGTGGCCTTGCACCGGCGGGTGAAAGGCTGATTTATCGACAGGAGAACCCAGACCAAAGGACGGGGCAGGTCACTCGGG